GTTGGGGTGGTTTGGTGGGTGGAGACAGTCGGCCGAGACCCCAGAGATCGGAACAACGAAAGACACCAGAGCGCCCCGAACATCCGCATCGCACACATGATCACCAGAGACAGCTCCCCGGCGCGACGCGAGGGCCCCCCCCGGCAAGCGGCGCGGACCCGAGAGGATTCCGGTCCGAGCCCCGGAAATACCACCCAACGAAATGCAGAGCTCTGCGCGAAACTGGACCTTGGCCCGCCAGCGGGCCTTGGCTTACACGTCGGAACGCCGCTCCACTTCCAGCTCCAATTCCCTTATTTTCGACTGCTGCAGCGACGGAATGCGACCGCAGGGGGGAGGCAGAGAGCGGCAGGCGCAGTCGGCGACATTGAGGGAGCGAGCAAGCTCAGGATGACACTCGACTCGATGAGAGAGACGCCCCACTGACCGCGCCCGAATGCTCCGCAGAGCTGCCAACGCGAAGCGCATCTTCTCATCAACCTTGGTAGCTAGCGCCTGCTTCATTGGTTTACGGGTCTGGTAGCAGGCCTCTCACGCGCGCTGTTTGACCTTGGCGATTTGGCCCCCAGCCGGGCCGGACCCCTCAAGGCCCTCCAGCTAGAAGTCAAGCTCGGCATAGAAGATCGGGCTCGAACCCACCCGCGACGGGATCCGAGGAAACGCAGACGGGGGGCACTTCCGAATCGCGGCCATCACAAGCACGCGGTCCAAGACGTCCCCAAGAAGCGTGGCCTTCCCAATCGCAGAGCAGCTGACAGTGAAGCCCGCCATAGTGGCCGAAAGATTAGGAGATAGATCCGAACCAGTCGACTGACATGAACAGGGCGCCTTGAGATGTCTCCCGCGGCGCCGGCCCTGGCTGGTGGAGCTCAGTCCACCGAGGAAAGAACTCCGACAAAAAATCCCAAGGCTGCACCGGTCCCCTGGACGCCACCCACTCCCATCAGCACAACGCAAGTTGAAGTCCCCACAGACAAGCACCAGCGCATCCCCCGAGTTCCCAAGAGCATTCTGACCCCGCTGAAGGTCGCGACTGAAAGCCCGCCAGAGACAGGAACATGGACACTTAACACCCGGAAGGCCCCATGGGATCCGTAACAGCTGGTGAGAATTATCCTGTCTGGAACAATCGCGCGGTGGTCAATGTAAAGAGCTTGTACAGATCGGCACCGAGAACAGCGAGAACACCCCCAGCGATAGACGAAACAAACCCTGAGAAACCAATCGACGCACCTCGCGCGCCATGCTGAATAGCCTCGGCACCACCCTCAGTGCCATGAGTCTCTTGAAGACAAGGAATACTGGATCGTCTGGAATACGAGAGAAACTGCATTGACCGTGAAGATTGGAGGGTGATGCAAAGCATGGAAGGTGGATGCAAAGAGCCCCCTAGAGTTCCACGATAGAGCAAAGAGCAGGGGAGACGGCGGCGGCGAGAAAGGCAGAAACGTTTCTAAAGGGTGGCCCCCTCCCCCAAGCGCAACACTGGACTGAAACGAAAGGGCGGGATCCCCGCCGGGGGGAAAATTGCACCGAGAAGACTCCCAAACAGCGGCACCCCCAGGGCCACTAGCCCGCTGCAGCGAAACTTGCAAAACTGGGCCCCACTGACACGTGGATAGTCTGCGGGTCAATGAATGGGGCAGCAGTGGACATGAAACAACGGGACGAGATCCTTCTTCGAGCGAAACTCGAAAACATCCCCACCAATCACGATCGAATTCGCCTGGAGCCCTACTTTGATCAGTTATGCCTGCAGGGCGTGACGGACTGCCCCCATCTTGAAGAACAGTAGACGATGATGATGAGACAAATTGCGACGCACCCTAAGCTGCCACAAGTCAGTCTGGCCCCTGGGATTCTGCATGGTGCACGTTCCACTCAGCTTCCGAACGTTGTCCGAGAAATCACTTGCCATCGCTGGAGACGGGAAATCGAGGGTGACCTTCTGCTGCAGATCATGTACACGTACGCGAATGAGTTTACCCGCCTGTTCCGTCGCACACTCGGAGATGACATCCTAAGCCACAGGCCCGAGAAAAGTCGCCAACAACCTGTCCTTAAACCCGAGAATGAGTAGACAGTGAGCATCTTCCATCTGAGCACTCTCGAACCTCCCAAAGGTGCTGCCATCCCCGACCGACTCCACCGCACGACGCTTCGAAGCTGTCACTGGGACCGAATGGGATGCAGGCGTTCGGGAAACAAAGGTCTGGTGAGCAAGCTCGAGAGCATCCAACCACGCCTGAAATGCATCGGTCTTCACACAGACCGACTCCACCTTGTCTGGCATCTCACGCAACTCTCGACCTTGGACTGTCACCGTCGTGCTGATCGCGGATGGCGTCTGATCGAGCAGCGCACTTGTGGACGAGAGGTGGTCTGCTAGCAACTGCTTGATCGAAGCGATATCCGCCATGGCAGCAGCAAGCAGCAAGCGAGAGGCGGAGCACGCAAACTGAGCTGGAATCGAAAGGCCGAAACAGGCCACTGTGGCCGGAAGCTCGAAAGGCCGTCGGCTGCGTCGAAGCTCGAAACACCAGGCCAAGCGGTTCGAGCTTGAGCCAAAATGGCTACGGACGACGACGATGGTGATGATGATGATGATGCTGACGGTACAGATGATGATGGTGGTGATGATGGTGCATATTATGACGACGGCAATGGTGAGGCTGACGATGATGATCGCGATTGTGTGAATGAGGATGCTGAGAAGGTGCGCGCCAGCAGAAGTTCAAACATCCTGATATGTTAAATGGGAGACCATCGGGTTGTAGTATGCGTTTGAACCCTTAGTGCCGAAATGGTTCGAAACATAATGGTGTTGAAACGCTTCCGACGTGCGCGCGCGACGGACGCGCGCGTGGCCCGCATGGCATACCGTTTGACCGAGCTGGTGGACGCGCGATGATGGTCGAACGTGTTCGACATGCGCGCGCAAGTGGCCCGCATGGTCTCATTCGACTGAACGGCTGAAGCCCGATGGTTTCTCATGGGTTTAGCCATCGTGCGCGCAGAACTCTGGCAAATCGTGCATGGAGCAACCAGCGGTTGTTACTAGTGCGGGAACAGCCATGTCTTGAGATGGCCGACATCCCGAAAGATCTGGTTGAAGGACTTTGACGAGCGCGCGCGGCGACGCCCGCATGTGCCCCTCAAGGACTGTTTCGCAACGGACGCTTAGCAAAAACACTCCTTAGATCAACGCGTGCGCACATCCTAAACTCAGTTGCAAGAGATGGCGGAGGGCCGCAAGGAGGTGATTGCTCTGGCTCCGACAGGGGGCTGTAACGGAGCCCGCTCCGACACAACACAAACAGTGAAAAGAGGTTGCCGCCACGACAGCACGGAGCCAGCCTGATGCCACTGTGGTTGCCTTTCGAAACAGGAGGGGGGAACAGAGCGGAGAAAGACGCGGGCCGGGAAAAGAGACCAAGGCGCTGCGCGCAGGATTCCCATGGCCCAATCGGCCGTTGATTTCACCACGGCAGACAGGAGGGGGAGAAAGAGGGGAGAGAGGGAGAGCGAGAGAGAGAGAGAGGACAAAACAAAGAGAACGAAAGAGAGAGAGCGAGAGAGAGAGAGAGAGAGAGCGAGAGACAGAGAGAGAGAGAGAGCGATTCAGAGAGCAGCAAAAAAAACGGTGCGTGACACTTGCTCCACGGCTACTGCCGCAAGTGGTGCCCACACAAGTACCCCCCCACAAGTCAAACATATAATAACCTGAGCAAAGCCTCAAGCCAATACCATTGACGAACACATAGCCAAATTGTGTCTGAAAACTTGTGGCCCCTCGGGCGCCACTTTGGGAGGCTTTGGGGCCAAGATGGCCCCAAGATGGCCCCGCCGCCAATGGCACGCGCAAGATGGTCCAAGTGGGGTCAACACGGCCGCTAGCATGCCTCGAGGAAACCCCCAAGATCGCCCAGAGACTGCTTCAAGTGGCCTCGACGCCCCCCACTGAGCCCCCCGAGAGGCCAACCTCATTCAAACAGGTTTTTCAGTGACTGCTGGCATCTCACCTTTTCGCTCCCGATGGGCTTGTGAAGCCTCAAGGCGGCGCCGAAATCGCCCAGCCCCAGAGGGCCCCTTGAAGACTCCAACAAAAAAGCCCCGAAAACCATCAAGAGCACCCGGAGAACGCTTCAAGAGGGCTGCCAGAAGCGATTTGTCGGGCTCCGACGGGTGGGAAGGGGGCTGAATTGAGTCTGCCCTGTTTTGTTTCTCGATGTCCTTCAAGATGGCCCCACGAGGGCCCTAAGGGCTCCCGAGAGGGCCCCAAGCGAGCCCCAAGAGGGCCCCAAAAGAGCCCAGAAGAGCCCAGAAGGCATCCAAAATGACTCCAAGAGGGCCCCAAGATGGCTAAAACAAACTGCCAAAAGGTCCCAATATCGAAAGATACGCGAAGGCACTGATGGTTGACTCCTTGGTCTGCTCAGACTGATCCCGAGCTTCCGTTTGATAGCTGCCCCGCTCTTTGTTCCAAGGCAACACGCCGAGACATAGTTCCTGAATGGACTGGTGGGGATTCGCGAAGCATGAACAGTTTGCTTCCAGCTCTTTCCAAAAAAAGGCGAGCCAAATGGATTAGCATAAACTATCAGCGGTCTGCGCGAATTCCTTGGATCTGTGCCAGACCCCCCCTCCCTGGCGCGCGGAGCGCGCCGGGGGCGTCGCCGGAGGCGCCGCCAGGCGGGGGCCCAGCGCAGATCCACAAAAACTACGCGGAGCTCTGCGTATGCCGCTTTCTTTCCGGATGAAGAACCAGCAGCAGAGGGCCCCCGAAACGCGACCCGGGGGGAGGAGCTCCCCCGACTTCTCGGCGACAGCCAAGCGTCTGATGCACATTATGGTACCAGTCCTCTACGCACATGCGTTCATATCGACGACCTTGCTGAATACGACATCTTTGATATAAGGATGCGCGTCTATGTTTGTGCCACTTCTTCTTCTCTTTCTTCTTCGATACAAGCTTGCGGCGGATCTCCCCCCCCAGGGTCCTCCGCCGCCGAGGTAACCGACGCGGGCCAGGTCCGCCTTCAGGATGCGGTCGGGCCGGAAGGCCTGCGTGGGGATGAAGCAGGCAGGGCGAGAGGACGCCAAGGAGGCGAAGGAGGGAAGGAGGGAGGGAGGGACGGAGGGAGGGAGGGAGGGAGGAGGAGGAGGAGGAGGAGGAGGAGGAGGAGGAGAAGAAGGAGGAGAAGGACGACGACCACAAGGAGGAGGAGGAGGAGGAGGAGGAGGAGGAGGAAGAGAACGAAGAGGAGGAGGAGGAGGAGGAGGAGGAGGAAGAAGAGCAGGAGGCGGAGGAGGAGGAGGAGGAGGAGGAGGAGGAGCGTGTCGGGCCTTCATGAGGGCGTCGGGGGGGGGGTCCTGCGAGATCCTGGAGTCGCGAGGCGTAAAACACAGCTGTGCCAGCCACAACCAGGATGACTCAGACCGGGATTGGCCAGGCGAAAGGACCATGGAGGGACGATGAATGCAGAGCGATGCCGCACCTCTCTTCCCGTCGCGAGCCGTGAGGCACAGCTGTGCCAGCCACAACCAACTTGACCTCTCAGGCCTCCGGCCAAGCCCGCTGGCCACTGGGAAAATTGGTCTCTCATTGCCTAAATCGCCTCCCAGACGGGCAAGGTGGCCCAAGATGGCCTCCAAGACGGCAAAGATGGTAAAGGACAGTCCCAAGACGCCTCCAAGTGCCCTCCAAACGGCCCAAGAGGCCCCCAAAATGCCCGAAGAGGATCTCCAAGAAGCCAAATACGTTTTTGCTCTGAGGTTGTTCCGTGATTCTAGCGTTCTCGCCCTTTCGAGCTTCTGACGCCCTTAGAAGGCCCAAGAGGCTCACAAGGTCGCCCCAAGACGGCCTAAAAGGCCCTCGAGGGGCCCCCAAGACGGCCCAATTGGCCCCCAAGACGGCCCCAAGACTGCCCCATAGACTTCCAAGACGGCCCCAAAGGGCACCGAAGAGGGACCCACGACTGCCCACAGAGGGCCCAAAGAGGGCCTCCGAAGGCCAAGAGGTCCCTCAGAGTTAGACTGGGTAGATTATGGCAAACACGACCGCCCTGGAATCTCCCAAAAATCTTCCCGCGAATCCCCGCGAATCTCCAATCTCCAAAAAAAAATCTTCCCGCGAATCTCCAAAAATCTTTCGCGCCTTAACCATATTCTGGCGAATCTCCAAAAACTCTTCGCGACTCAAAGAGCATCCGGCGAATCTCTAATAAGTTCTTGTGCCTCAGAAATCAAACGACATCTACATCAGAGATGATTCCAGCCGGAGATTCTCTGGAGACTTTTCTACGACTTCGGCAAGCCGGAGAGTTGCCGGATATGTTCCAGAGCAGGAGATTTCTGCATGCCAGAAATTTCCAGGAGATTTGCCAAGAGATTTGCTGGAGATTCCCTGGTAGATTTTGGAGGCCAGAGATTTTCCGGAGACTTTGGGACGATAGCCACCAAGAGGCCCCCAAGAGACCCGAGGAAGCCCCCAAGAGTCTCCAGAAGGCCCCCAAGAGGCCCCAGGAGGCCCGGAAGAGGCTCACAAAGAGGCCCCCAGCAAGCCGCCAAGAAGCCACGCAGGGCCTGCGACGAATTCATTATAAACGCTTCCATCCGCAACGAGTTTATCTGAAAGAACGTTCTTCTGGACGAACTCGTCCAGACGAAATTGCCCGGACGAACTCGTAAATCGTCCTCAGATGAACTCGTCTTAGGGTGAACTCGTCCAGATGAATTCGGTCGGATGAACTCGTTCCGGATGTCCAGATGAAATCGCTTCGGGTGAACTCGGAGGCTGTCTGAGGATTCAGGGTTGTAAGGTTAGGACCAGGTTTAGTGTTACAGTTAGTTGCAATCCGTTGGCACAGAATGGACAGCACAAGCCTGAGAAAAGAATCTTCCCTAAGAGACGCGATTGGGAACTGACTTCCGGAGATGCTCACGATCGAGTGCCCAAATCCCTGGCACTCGTGCTATCTGGTCCTGTCAAACCACCCAAGACCTGTGACATCATGCTATCCGTGGCCCTCTCGTCCAGCAGCTCTGCCGACGATCCCCCTCCCCCTCCTCGTCCGACTGCTCGCGCCCCATCCGCCCACATTCCGCGAGGCGCGCCAGGAGGACCGGATGGGGCCCGGCCGCAAGCTCCTCGTCTAGCTCCTCACAATCCTCCAGAATCACGCGGATCGCATGGAGGAACTGACCAGGGCGGGGGGCGGGGGAGGGGGCGGGGAGGGGGCGGGGCGTAGCACAAGTCAGGAGAGTCGGGCACACGGCAGAGGGCCTTGAGGTGGCATCCGCGAGGCGTCAAGATGGCTCCAGGACGACCTCCTCCTGCCCGCGCCCCTCCGCCCCTGCGGGCACCGCTGGATGTGTCTCGGCATGCCGGCCAGGGCGCAAGCCCCGGGACGGGGGTGACGACTTGCGAGGGAGCGGGGGGGGGCGGATCAGGCAAGTGTGAGCCCAGGATCGATCGCGATTACAATAGGAGCTCGACCACAAGAAACCTCCCACAAGAAACGCAGCCCTGAGACCCCAGGACGTTCATTGATTTTTGGTGTGGGAACGGCACGCTCTCCCACACGTTTGCTTTCAGAGCATTTTCTGAGGACGTCGCGGGCGAGGCGCTGCTCTCAGCACTCCCAAGGGGAGACCGTCCTGGGTAAGCCGAAATCCGCCGACCCAATCGGCCAGTGTGAAAGGCCCTTCGACGAGAGGCCAGCCCAAACCAAACTGAAGTGCGCCATGCCCTGGACGCGATACCAGCCCAACCCGAAATCAAGTACGCCAGCCTCCTTTAAATCGTCGTCGCCGCAAAGGATATCGCACTTACGTCGAAAAGGAGCCTCTTCCCTTTGGCCCTTCCCCGCGGTAGGTCGTCCCGGCAGGGATCCCAGGGGGGATGGTCCCGGGGCGGGGTCCCGGGGGTCGGTCCTGGGGTGGGCGCCCCGGGGGTCGAGGCCCCCCTCCCCGGCGGCCCCCCTCTGGAGAATGGAGACTTAAGGGGGGGGGGGTCTTCCGGCACGTCGGGAGCTCAGGACTCCCCCCCTCGCCGCGGCCCCGGCTCCATCCCTGGCCCCGGCCTCGTGGCGACTGCACTCGCCGCGCTCGGCCCTGGGGAGGGGAGGGGGAAGCCCCCCCCCCCCCCCCCCGGAGCCGAGGCTGCGGCCCCGACCCTCCGAGAATGCCCTTCGGCGGTGGGGGCGGCGCGGCGCGGCGGAGCGGAACGCGCGCGCGCTCCGCTCCGCCCCGCCGCTCTGACGGGCCGGCCGCGCGCGCGCCGTCGGCGGTGCGCGCGGGCGCGCGTGCGCCGTCGATCCGACGGAGCGGCCCTGCGAGGGCAGCGCGGGCTGGCCGCGAAGGGGGCCGGGAGCGGGACGGCCGTCGGAGCCGGAGGGAGGGGCCCGTAGCGCACAGTTGCGGTCGACGCTCTTCGTGGACAGCTCAAGGCCACCCGAAACAACGAAACAACACCTGGCGGCCCAACAGCTCTCTGACCTCCTGCTGCAAGCAGGGCCTTCTGAATGCAAGATGGCGCCCGCGATGCGGCGCGCACAGCCAGCATTCAGAAGGTTGGCGGGGCGGGCGTTCCAATCGCCTCCGACGACGAATGGCGTGGGGAGCCGACGCGGCCCCTCGCCGCCGCGGTGGAAAAGAATCCAGCCCGAGAGGGTCGACGGCAGCAGGGCGCAGCGCGATGGAAGCTACGCCATCCGGAACCCACGCGCTCGACCCATGCCCAACAGACTCTCCGCGACACAGAGGCATTCCCCCTTCGTGGTCGCGACGCCGGGGTCGAGGGTGGACTGCCAACCCAGCTCGCGAACCCGATTGACCCCTTCGCACGAGGGCTCCTGACAGATAAAATCCTGGAGGAAGACGGACGCCCCCAGGGCCTCGTCCTGGAGGTACGTCATGGGTTGGCCGCGCCCTTCACTGCTCTCAACTGGGCACGCGAAGAGAGGGGGCGTGGCGGCCGAGGATGCGCATCGCAAACTTGCCGCTGCTCAGCTGCACCCCGAGCGTCCCGGGGGCGGTAGCGGAGGCCGCGCTGAGCTGCGGAGGCAGAGGCGCCGCCGGTACCTGGCGAAGCCGAGGCCCCTGTCGGCGCGCTCGAGATAGTAGCCAGAGAAGACGCAGACGCCGCGCGCGAACGCGGGGGCGCGAGAACAGAGGACGAAAGTCGAGCAGCACGTGCTCGGCGACGATCCCGAACAATAACTTTCCGCGGCCACATCGGGCGCCGCGCGGGGAGAATGGCGACCGCTGGTCGAAGCCGTCGCAGGCGCAACGGAACGAAGACAGCACGCGGGGTGGCCAAGTGACCCGCCGCGGGCGATGAGCCGACTGGCAGCCCTCGGGCAGCCGCGGGAGGCCCCCCACGTGGCGAGGTAGAGAACGCGGTAGGCAATGCTCCCGCGGCGCTCTCTGCCCGCCCCACTCCCACCGACTTACCACCACAGGGTCCTACTTGGAGGTCCCAGGGCCATGAGGAACCTGGACTGCCAAGGGCTTCGTATCTGGGGAGTCTCAGCGGTCTCAAAGCAGGTAAGTACAACGTCCAAGATGGCGTAGCCGACGTCGGAGGTGAAGAAGTAACCAGCGAATATGTAGAGTACCACGAAGGAATCGCTGCGGCCAACCAACCTCCCGGCGACTGCGGGGCAATATCGGGGCGCCCCCACCCCGGCGCGGTAGTCCACGCGGAACAGGAAGAACCTGCGGCGCTACCTTCCTGAACCGCGGAAGGCCCCGCATGGTGGCCCCAGGTCCGCAGGGACTCTGGCCTGCCGCGGGTTCCGTTCCTGGGGTGTCTCATCGGTCCCAGAACAGGCGATTGTAGCGCCCAAGAGGGCAGCGGAAATGGACGCGGGCGAAGTAGCATATAAATCTACACTGTACCAAGTAGCTGTAGCTGCTGCCAACGAAACACCTGGCCAGCGCGGGGTAATCTCGGGATGCCCCCAACCTAGTGTGGCAATCCACGCGGATGATGCTGGACCTGTGGCGCTCTCTTCCAGCCCTACTCCCACCGATTCACTTCCGCAGGTGTTCATATGGCGGCCCTGGCCCTGGCCTATCATGGGTTTCGTCTCCGGGGTGTCTCAGCGGTATCAGAACAGGTGAGTGTAGCGTCCAAGATGGGGCCGCCGATATCGGAGTACACCAAGTAGGGCCAGCCACCATGCTAAACCTGAGAATGTGGAGCCGCAGTGTCTGCGTCTCCGCGTGCCATCCTGGCAGGACGCTCATACGGCTGCTCAAGTGAACCACTATCCATGACATCCTCCGAGTCGAGCTCTACTGGTTGGTCGGCTGCGCCAGAGGGCGCCTTGCCTCTAGCCTGCTCGACCGAGGCAGGGGCGGACGTCCTGGGTGCTGGCGGGGCGGGGGGCGAAAGTCCTGAGCCAGCTGCATCGGTGCTAGCTTCAGCGGTAGCCCCCACGCTGTTCGCCGTTCCTGCATCGTCGTTGCGACGCTTCCTGGCGGCCATCCTGAAGCGGAAAGCGCGTTGCTCTTCTACCAGCTCCTTGGCCCTGGTCTTCACAGTGCCAAAGGACTCCAACACTGTACCCTCGATAGTTTGTTCGGCCTCCGCCTTGCGCTTGGCAACCTCCTCCTTCCTGGCGTCTGAGAGCTCGACGCCCTCTGACTCAAAGCCGAACAGGTCCTCACCTGCGAAGATATCAGGCGATGCTTTTTCATCCAGCAACCTCTCCAGGCTGAGGCCGCGCTGTGGTGCGTGAGGTTGCTGGGCTGGCGTCTGGTCCTGCTGGGTTGGGACCTCCGCTGCCAGCGCCTGCGCCGTCTTGTGATAGGCGACCTGGCAAGCCTCGAAATCAGCCATCGCTTAAACGGCTCCTTGCTGGGCCTGCCGTATCTGCCCCCGAAGTTGAGCAGCAAGACTGGCTTTATTGTCCAACAACTGCATGGCTTCACGCATGGCATGCTGGGCAGCACCCACAGAATGGGTCTTGGGTAAGGATGACTGAAGCTCACGCACGCGAGCAGCGAAAAAAGTGGCTGGGACAGTGCCTCCCAGCTTCTTGGATGTCTCTTCCAAGGCCTGCACTGTCGGGACATCCTCTTTGGTGTACTTACCTGCACTACCCTGCTGGGAGGCTGCTGGGAGGGGATACAGCCAGACTCGCGAAGCTGCAGGCCAGGCATCCTCATCCCGCTCGACGGGGCTGCATGCCAGCAGGGAATGAATGGTCCAGCTGGGGCGAGCCACGACGACGCGAGGGCCTTTCCCCTGCCTTGCTTGCCCTGTGCCCCTCTGCCCTGCGGCGCTTCTCCGTGCCAGAAAGTTGTCGGCACCAATGGCGGGGAGGGCGCCGAGCAGAGGCAGGGCCCAGCGGCCACTGGCTGGCCGTCGCTCACGCGGCCCCACGAAAGACAAGGGCTGGAGGGTGCTTGCAAAACCAAAAATGTGGATGGCATTTGTCGATGTGATGTGCTTCTTCACCACAAGCGGTTCTGCCTTGCTCCAGGCAGGTCAAAAGAGGCTAAAGCCCTCCCTCCGCCCTAGCGTCGGGAGGGCTTGTAGCAGAAAACGGCGTCGGGAAGGGAGGTAGGCGGAAGTGGCAGCAGTGAACTTCAGCAGTATGTATTGCAACCGTAATGCGGACACGGGGCCCTGCTGCTGCTGTCATCGCCAGATGGGTTGGCACGATGCCACTGGCGCGTGTCCCCCGTAGAAGAACTCACCCAAGGCTGGCGGCGATGGGAAGAAGCCATCGATTCAGGGCTCGGCGCGCGCAAAAGGAAGCCATCGTGGTAAAAGGGCCGGGGGCGGAGGACAAGCCTCCAGCACGGTGCTCAGGGTGATGCTCTGATGAAACGGTTGGGGCCGCGGCCTCCCCAGTGCCAAAAAAAATTCTAGTCCCTGAGCCCGACGCTACGGACTTTAGCCAAAATGGCTGCGGACCACTCTCCTCCTCCTCCTCCTCCTCCTCCTCCTCCTCCTCCTCCTCCTCCTCCTCTTCCTCCTCCTCCTCCTCCTCCTCTTCCTCCTCTTTCCTCCCCCCCTCCTCCTCCTCCTCCTCCTCCTCCTCCTCCTCCTCCTCCTCCTCCTCCTCCCTCCTCCTCCTCCTCCTCCCTCCTCTCCTCCTCCTCCCCCTCCTCCCCCTCCTCCTCCTCCTCCTCCTCCTCCTCCTCCTCCTCCTCCCTCCTCCTCCTCCTCCTCCTCCTCCTCCTCCTCCTCCTCCTCCTCCTCCTCTCCTCCTCCCTCCTCTTCCTCCTCTTTCCCCTCCCCCCTCTCCTCCTCCCCTCCTCCTCCTCCTCCTCTCCTCCTCCTCCTCCTCCTCCACCTCCTCCTTCGCCTCCTCCTCCTCCGCCTCCTCCCCCTCCCTCCACATCCCGTCCCATGTCCCGAGCCTGTGGCAGGGTCATCTCGTCATCGTCGTCGTCGTCGTCCTTCTGGGTCGACGGCACCGACGGTAAGGCAATCACGATAAAAGCTGCAGCAAAAACTGTGCGAGGTCCGGCCGGATTCCGTGGATCGGCACGCCTGGGGCGGCGCCGGAGGCGCCGCCAGTGGGGCCGCAGCGCATGTCCAAGAAATCCGCGCGGACCTACGACATGTTGTGTATGCCGTTTTCTCTAGTTCGAAGAAGATGGATCAATTTTCAAGCAAATTCGGAAGAAAGCGCTGAGACAGCTTCAGCGCGTATGCCTTCGTGCATGCGCATGAGGTTTTAACAACCCAGGCCAGTTCCTTGGAGGCTGCTGAAGCTTGCCTGGCGGATCGACACAATATGGGCGACCATTATTTTTCCAGAGCCGTCGGACAAATTATCCTGGCGAAGGACCCAACCATACGCAAGTGTGAGAACCGCAGGGCGTGTGGGACGAAGCAAGGGGAAGTCCCAATGGGGGCACGCACCGAATGAGGGGTGCGCCAAAATGGGGCGGGGCCGCCACGCGAACCCTGCCACTGGGGCCTTCGGTGGAGCTCCCTATGGGGCCACGAACCGTGTGAGGGGTGCGCCAAAATGCGGGGCCGCCATGCGAACCCTGCCACTGGGGCCTTCGGTGGAGCTCCCTATGGGGCCACGAACCGTGTGAGGGGTGCGCCAAAATGGGGCGGGGCCGCCATGCGAACCCTGTCACTGGGGCCTTCGGTGGAGCTCCCTGTGGGGCCACGAACCGTGCGAAGGGTGCGCCAAAATGGGGCGGGGCCGCCATGCGAACCCTGCCACTGGGGCCTTCGGTGGAGCTCCCTATGGGGCCACGAACCGTGTGAGGGGTGCGCCAAAATGGGGCGGGGCCGCCATGCGAACCCTGCCACTGGGGCCTTCGGTGGAGCTCCCTATGGGGCCACGAACCGTGTGAGGGGTGCGCCAAAATGGGGCGGGGCCGCCATGCGAACCCTGCCACTGGGGCCTTCGGTGGAGCTCCCTATGGGGCCACGAACTGTGTGAGGGGTGCGCCAAAATGGGGCGGGGCCGCCATGCGAACCCTGCCACTGGGGCCTTCGGTGGAGCTCCCTGTGGGGCCACGAACCGTGTGAGGGGTGCGCCAACATGGGGCGGGGCCGCCATGCAAACCCTGCCACTGGGGCCTTCGGTGGAGCTCCTTGTGGGGCCACGAACCGTGTGAAGGGTGCGCCAAAAAGGGGCGGGGCCGCCACGCGAACCCTGCCACTGGGGCCTTCGGTGGAGCTCCTGATGGGGCCACGAAACGCTGCACTCGGTGGGTGAAACGCAGGGAGGAGGGAGGAGGAGGAGGAGGAGGAGGAGGAGGAGGAGGAGGAGGAGGAGGAGGAGGAGGAGGAGGAGGAGGAGGCGGGAGGGAGGGAGGGAGGGACGCGGGGCGCTGTCTCTCCAAAACGAAGACCCAACACCACAGGATGGTTAGGAAATATTCAGGATTACAGCCCGGGCCCCCAGGGACGGGGTCGAGAAGTCCGGAGATGCGGCGCACCGAGAAGATCGAGACGCTGGATCCCTGGGCAAGGCCAGGCTGGCTGCTTGGGTGGCCCTCGGCCGGCCCGGCCTGCATGCCGTAGGTGGACGGCCTCCGGCGGGTGGCAACGGGAGGTGACCTCAATGGGGGCGAAGGAAGAGGCCCTGGAAGGGCCCTTCTCTCCTCCCCCCATGCAGGTCACCCGCACCCATTGCCACCCGCCCGACTGTCTGCGCAAGCCGCTGCCCATCATGCTGCCCGGGTCCTGCAGCGACCTGCCCTGCTCCTGCAGCGACCTCACCTCGACCGTCTGCGTCCTCTGCTTGGCCCTCGCGGCGCGAGGCCGCCGGCCCGGCCAGGCCCGAGAGCTCTCGTTTTCTACGGCTCTCTGCAGCGCTCGTCACTGGTGCCGTTCCCCCGAGACGTCACGCTTCACGCCAGCGACGACCGGGACTGGCTGCAGGCAGCTCCAGCCTCAAAAAGGCGCTGGCGCAACTCGCGACATGCCGGCCCTCTCCCCCCCCCGAAGAAACAAAAAGGCTCGCTTGATGAAGGGCTCGGAAGAGATTGGACCGGGCCTGATTTTGGTAGCCGCTTTCATTGCCAGGCGTCCGTTTATGGGCGGCCCCAGGGCCATCAAACAAATTCTCATGATGACCAGCGGGCCCTGGGAAAGGGTCAGCAGGGCTGGGGTTGGCGACTCTAACAAATCACGCCGTCAGAGGTTTAGGGAGGGAGGAGGGGGGAGAATCTGGCCCAGAGGAGAGATCAGCGAGGGGCAGAGAAGCAGCAAAGCAGGGTGCGTGTCTCAGACATGATCCGTTTGCACACCCCTGACGGGCCAACATCCGAGGCGGCCAGCGAAGGATGGAGGAGGGGAGCGGGGAAGAGAGAGGGGAAAGGGAGAAAAAGAGAGAGAGAGGAGAGAGAGAGGAGCAAGCCTTGTGCGCTCGGCCCGCATCTGACATCCGAAACCTCCCGCCGATGCCTTCCCATGACGCCGATCCGTCTGTCCGCAGAGCAGGGTGCAGAATGGGACCAGATTCCCCTGATGAGTATGCCTGGTCTGTCGTCTGCTGTGATGCAAAACCGAACAGCGCCATGCGCGGATCAAGCAACAAAGTGATACCGAGGCCCCGAAGCCCTCAAGGCGCAGAGCATGAGGGGGCGTGGCAGCGGGCGGGGGGGGGCGAGGAGAAGCAAGGGGAGGGATGGGTGGGCGGGGGGGAAGGGGGGAAGGAGAGGAGGAGGAGGAGGAGCAGCAGCAGCAGCAGCAGGAGGAGACATTGGTGCGCCCGAACAGCCTCCCGAGGGTGCTTCCCCGAGATCCCCCTCTTTTCTGAGCAGCCTGACGTTTGGGGGAAAACTTGAGGATCGGGGGCGAAAAGCCTAGGTCACCTAACTTCGCGCATCGCGGGGCGAACTGCACGACGCGCGGTTATTTTTGCGCCCTCGCGATGCCGACCTGAGAAAGGTCGCCTCTCTTGCCCTGGCCGCGGTGCGCGAGGCGCTGCCATCTTCCCGCACCGTGGGGAGACCTAAGAAATCGTCCGCCATTTTCCCCAGGCAAGTCGAGCCAGGGATTGCGCCGGCCGGCGCCAGCGCCTGTGCACCCGCGCGAAGTCCAGGCAGGGCAAGCACACGGGCAAGCGCTGGGCCCAGTGCGGCAGGGCGAAGATGCCCTGCGGTGCCCGAAGGCCCAGGCGCGACCGCACTGGACCGGGTGCACTGACGTTCGCACGACTGCCCTAACATTTGCACGCTGGCGAATCACCCTTGGCCACGATTCCTTCACCAACCCAATCCGCATCCTCATCCTCATCCTCATCCTCATCCTCATCATCATCATCATCAGCATCATCATCATCATCCTTAACATCATCATCATCATCATCAGCAGCAGCAGCAGCTCCAATATCATTATATCCACCACCACCACAACAAGAATCCTCATCAGCATCATCATCGGCAGCATCACCAGCAGCATCATCTTCGCAGTCGTGAAAACCATCACGGCCACCATAACAGCCACCATCGGTAACCACCGTCGCATCCACACAACAGCATCACCATCATCTCATATCGTCGTCATCCTCACCATCATCACCTTCATCACCACCACTGCCAGCGTAACATGTATTTTCATGACAACCACAATCAGCATGATCATCGCCATCCGAATTCCATATAATTAGCCATCAGCACTGGCACAATATTTGATCTGCGGGGCGAGAGCGAACCCCTCCCGCTAAAATCTAGGCGGGCCACGCACAGTTTTAATTAGGGAGACAAGGCACAAGAAGGCCGGGCCTCAGGCGGCCGGAGCGGGCGGGGCCCGGGGTGCAGAAGTGGATGTGCAGGAGAAGGTACGCCGCGGACAGGGACCGAGGGCGAAGACCCGGAAGGCGAAGGAAATGGTGTTGCCGTCAGCGGCACATCGCGAACACCAGCCTCAAGCGCTGCAGGGGAGGACGCGCCACTTGACCAGGTCGACGCCCAGGAGGAAGAAGAGCACCACGACGGCGGTGAGCAACGTTGTGCCACCGGATGATGCGGAGGAGGCCCGGGGTGGTAGTCCAATCCAAGACCAGGTAGCAGCGTAGCTTGAGGTGCGGCCTCAAACGAAAGGGCCATCCATGACCGACAGGAAGTCGGTGGGCTGCAGGGAGAAAACCTGCCCTGCATCGCCAGCGCGTGAAGACGGGCAGCAGCCGCACACGATGCGCTGACGTCCGCAATGCCAAGGGCCGGGCCTGAGCCGCGCAGCGCCATGGCGAGCGGGGCCGCCGAGGCGGCATGGTGCAGCGCCTGGCACCGGGCCGAAGCCGCGCAGTGCCGGGCGCTGCCGCCATGGGAGGGGGGGGAAGCGAGCGGGGGGGGAAGAAGCGAACAGGAAGGAGAAAGGGCGGCGCTCACCGCCAGCCGTCGACGTTCCAGCCCGCACCGTCGGTGCTCCGTGGGAGGAGCTGGGCTCCCAATGGGTTCAGGTAGGACACACGGTCCCAATACACGTTAAAGACAGGAGGGGGGGGAGCAGGCAACACAGTCGGGGACCAGGTGGACCAGTAGGCAGACGCCGCGAGTGGACCGTGCACGTACCAAGTGCACCGCTACTGCGCCCGTCAGGCTGCGCACGCCTGCACCGTGCGCGTGACGGGGGCGCACGTGGGCTGCCAGGCTCCTGGATCAGCCTTCCAGCGAAGGCAGTGGGGGAACAGGTGGGGGGGAACACAAGGACACACGGTCCCAAGCCAGGTGGTGAGGGAGGGGGAAGGGGGAACAGGTGGTGGGCGTGGCCAGCGGCGGGTTGGACAAGGACCTTGCCATTAGTTGTTGGGAGCGTAAGAAGGCGGTCGCGGCGCGCTGCGCCTGACAGAGCAGAGCAGAGCAGCGGCCCGTAGGGAGGCGGCGCGGGTCCTCCTCCCCGGCATTGCGCCGGGCCGGAAAATTGATCAGCGTGGTGTGAAACAAATCGATCAGTGTGGTGTGAAACATATAGGAACATTACAGGCGGGCAAGACAACACAAACCAGCCTGGGCGTGCCACGGGGTACGGCCAGACCCTCCAAGAAGGGAAGGGCAATACCCACGGGCATACCCACGCCAACCTGTGTTCTCCTCAAGGAGCCCGGCAGGGAGGAAGAGGAGGAGGGAAGGGAGGACGACGACGACACGAACGAACGAGGAGAGGCCGGTTGCAGGCTGGTCAGCGCCTGGGGCGTTTCCCGGTCCAGTTGTCATTGTACCCGGAGCTGCGTGCCTGGTCCTCCCCGCGCCCTTCACCTTTGGCAACCTCTCTTTTTTTCTGGACGTCCTGGTACAGGACCTTTTCCCGGTCCCAGTCCACGTAGACGCCGGCGTATCGAGACCACGTCTCCACGTGGTGGTTGCAGCTGTCCATACCATCCAGAAATTTGTCGATTATCTTGGGCTGCCAGCAGTTCGGGTCGAACGCGACCTGGTCTTTGGATTTGCCTTTGCCCTGCTCCTTACACATATGCCTGCACCACGAGTGCCAGGCTGCGGTGAAGTGGTATCCTCCCTCAGCCTGCAGCCTCTTCAGGTGTGTGACTGCTGTCTCATGTGAGCGGCGTGGCCAGCTGACGCGGTGGATTGTCCTTGGACGGGGACGGCTGGGGTCAGGGTAGCGGCGATCGTCCCTGTGGTGAGAGCTGCGTGGGTCTTCTGGCTGGCGCCAGGGGGTCCACCCTGTGCCCCTGCCACAGTCGCGGTCCTGGTCCCAGTAGCGCTCCCTGGTTATGTCCCAGTCGTTGGTGTCTTGCTTGCGCCACGGGGCCCCCTTTACGCCTTTGTTGCGGTCGCGGTCGATCATCACTGGCACAAGCAATGCCATCATCGAATCACCATCATCACCATCATCACCATCACCCTCATCAGCAATACCATCAACAGCTTCACCAACATGAACATCTCCGTTGGCTCCTCATCGTTCTTCCGCTATTCCTCCTCGTCCACATCCTCCTCCTCTTCCTACACCTCTTCTTCCTTCTCCTGCTCATCATCCTCCGCCGCAGAATCGGCACCGAATCTCGGGCAACCTGGGCCTAGAGGATCCACCACCTAGGCTATTGGACGTGTCTGGTATTCTGGGGGAGCTCTGGGAACCTCCGAAAACCTCCGGAGACCTCCGCGAAGCCGCCGTAGACCTCCAGGAACCTCTGCAGGTCTCACACCTCCGACGCCTTGAAGATCAGGGCGGCCAATGGGTCCAAGATCTGGGCCTCTTGGGGCACGGCACGGGCCCCGTGGACCGTCCCCTGTACAATGTGTCGGTTTTGAAACGCCGCGCCTCGTCGACGTTCTCTTAGATTGTGTCGATGTGCGTCTGAACCTCCTGCAGGTGGGATTTCGGAACTCCCTTCATGCGGTCGGTCTCCTGGCCTCTTGAAATACTTGGAGCATGTGGGTGGCCATGGCCTTGATGAAGGCGATCTGGCGCTCCTTTCCATCTGTTGGCAAGTTGGCGCTGCTCTTAGTGATTATGGCAGCTGCCGCCTTCCGTTGGCTGGTGGTCATGGTCCTCCTCCACCCCTAGTAGAGCTTCAGCCCGTTGAGTGGATCCCGGCAGTCGGGCCTCAGAATGGCGCTGTGCTTCCTCACGGGCATGACGTAGCTGATGACCCTGTTGATGTGATCCTCGTGGCCGTTGGCCGCAATTTCTGCTGGTGGCCTTCTCAACTGGCGCTGGTTCGTCTTCACTCTGCTGATATGTGCCTTTTCTGTTGTGATTGCCTTTGGCGCTGCCGTCGTCGCAGGGATTCGGGACACTTGCCTTCCCGTTCCCTGGTTAGTGGGTAGGCTGTTGGACTCGGACCTTCCCTTTGCCCTTGTTCCAGTAGGCGTCCAATTGTTGCGCCGCCCACTGCTCGTTGCTCCAGCGGTCGAGTCCCATTCCAATCGCCGCCGTAGTCGGCCCCGTGGTTAACGATCGCTCCGGCGCCATGGTGGCAGCCTGAAGCAGAAGTCGTGGTTGCTGGGCGCCGCGGTGGCGCGCCAACAGCTGCTGAGCCTTGAGGACCCGAAGCTGCGTGCAAGAATTGGCGATGGCGCCGGTTATGCCAGGTGGGGTTCCTCGATATGGTCGTGGAAGTGGTCATGGGGCCACGCAAGCCTGCGAGAAGAGAAGTTCAGTAGGTCGATGCAGCGGTGATGTCGCGGCCGCCCTGGTCCTGCGGGCGAGCACGCTGGCCACTACCACGAACCTGAAGGCCTGTCCCTCGAGCACGCTCGGGCGTTCACGGACACCCGCCCTCGTCCTCATGTTCATGGTTCCTGGTGGCTGCATGGCCGTTCAGACAAAGCCTCCCTCCCTCGCCTCATCCTTCTCCTCCTCCTATTCCTCCTTCTCCTCCTCGACCTCCTCTCCTCGCAGTCCTCATTGCACCCTCCTCCCTCTCCCTCACATTCTCGGCCGCAGAACCGCCACGATCGCGCTGCGTCGATCGAGAACATAGCAGAGGGAGCAGGGACGAGAAGGAAAGAGCGCAATTTGAGCATGGAGCAGGGAGGAATCAGAAGAGAAGGACAGAGGAGGAAGGGGGAACGAGAAAGGGTGGAGGAGGACGGACGGAACGAGGCGTAATGAGGACGAAGGAAGGAGAGAGGGAAAAGGATGAAGTGCGAAAAGAACGAAAGAGGAGAAGGGGGGGAGGGGAGTGCAGGGCAGGGGAGGAAGGGAGGGGATGAGGATGGGGATGGGGAGGGGGATGGGGAGGGGGAGCGGGTGGAGAATAAGGAAAAGTGGTACGGGGAGGGGGAGGGGTGGGGGAGGAAGGAACAGAGGAGGAGCGGGGGGAGGCAGGGAGGGAGGAGGCGAAGGTAGATGCGGAGGTGGGGCCAAGGGTGCGGAGGGAGATGGGATGCAGGTGGAAGGAGGCGGGTGGGGTTTGGGGTGAGGGGGCGAAGTGGAGGGATAGGACGAGAAGCCCAGATATTCAGCGGCACGACCTGTCTGGCACGCGGGCTCCCGGGCCTCTCGGCCCCTCCCTTGAGGCCGGCTTTTCATCCCGGGTCGTTGTCTGATGTCCCCGAGGCCCGGGATCCGCCTCCACTGGCCCGAAATGACGAAGGACTGGCGAACTCGAGTTTGTCGAGGCGGCGGACGTCTGGGGATGGGAAGGCGCCCGGCGCGCCCCATCTCTCTCTCTCTCTCTCTGTTGGGGCTGCCTCCAGCGGCCCCAAGAGCGTCTCCACCGAGGCCCTGTCCAGCACCATGGCCCTGAAGGGGCAGCTCCCGCGGGCGGGGCAGGGCGGGAACAAGGGATGATGAGAGAGGGTGAGGAAAGAGAAGGTATCACTAAGGCGAGAGATCCTCAAATAAGAGAGCATGGTAGGTTCGACTGCAACTCGCAATCAGACATACAATAAGAGAACATGTATACGAGCAAAGACCACAATATACCATAAGAGAGGGTAATCTATTTATATAAATATATATATATGGAAGTATGTGTACGTAGCGCCCCACAGTGGCGGGCAAGAGTAAGGTGGCGGCGGGGACGTCGGCAGTCTGCGAGGCTCTGAAGAAGCCCCGCCGCAGGCGCCAAATTTTTACAAATTATACCATGAGCCCGCCGCATGCGCCGTTTTTTTCGTTAAGGAAATGTTGGTGGGTCGAGGGGTGGGTCGCGGGTGGATCGCGGGTGGGTCGCGGGTGGGTCGCGGGTGGGTCGCGGGCGGGGTCGCGGGTGGGTCGCGGGTGGGTCGCGGGTGGGTCGCGGGGTGGGTCGCGGGTGGGTCGCAGGCGGGTCGCGGGGTGGGTCGCAGGTGGATCGCGGGTAGGTCGCGGGTGGGTCGCGGGTTCGCGGGGTGGGTCGCGGGTGGGTCGCGGACCAGGTCGCTGGTGGATCGCGGGCCGGGTCGCAGGAGGGACAACGACAACAAACAACAACAACAACAACAACAACAACAACAACAACAACAACAACAACAACAACAAAAAAAAACAGCAACAACATCAGCATCAACAACTACAACAACAACCAACAGCAAACAACAAACAACACACAACAAACAACAACAACAATAATAATTTAATTAATAATGAAAACCATACGAATAACAACAACGGTAACAACAACAGCAACAACGCTAACAACAACAGCAACGACAACAACAACATCAGCAACAACAGCAGCAGCGACAGGAGCGACAGCAGCAGCAACAGCAACAACAACAGCAACAGACGGCACACAGCAACAACAACAACAACAACAACAACAACAACAACAATCAGCACACAACACAAATAGCAGCATCACCAACAACAACAGTTACAGCGACAACAAGAGCAGCAGCAACAGCAACAACGACGGCAACAGCAACATCAAACACTAAACAACAAGCAACAAACAACAAACAATTAACAACAAACAACAAGCAACAACAAACAAGCACCATTCAAACAAGAACATCAAACCACAAACAACAAATAACAAAGGCAACAACAACAACAACCACAACTGCAGCCACAACAACAGCAACAACAATATCAACAACAACAGCAACAACAACATCACCAAAAGCACCAACAGCAACAATCCGCACCGCAGAACCTCACTTCAGCAACGCGCCCAGGGACGGTGAATGACCGTTGGGCCCCCTCACTCTGATGAGATACAGGGATGTAAGTAACGCAAGGGAAAAGAAGGGAGGAGATGGGAGGAGAGGAGGGGGGAAATGATACAAAGTTGCGAACGTTGCATGATGAAGTACAGAAGAAGAGGAGAGCGAAGAACTTTTAGAGTCAATCAAACGAGCACTGGGGAAACCGAATATGTACCGATACCCCTGCTCCCCGGACCTCTCCTGGGGTGCGCCCTGACCAGGATTCCGAGGGGAATACAGCGGTGGCGACGAAGGCCACACAAAAAGCCCCAAAAGGGGGAAACGAGGGAATGGTAGCGATATAGATAATTACCTTTCCCTCCTCTAAGTTTAGAATCCAGCAAGAGGTCACTGGGGAAGCGGTGGGTGTAGATACTTTTCCCGATCCGGCCGACTGCCGATCTCCACATCTACCGCTCCTCGTGGCGCGGCTCCAAAGCGGAGGAGGCGATCACAACCACGCGTTAGCAGGGGACGCCAGGGAAGAGGGCAAGGGCCAGAAAGAGAGAGAGAGAGAGAGAGACAAAAAAAAAGAGAGAGAGAGAGAGAGAAACATCGGCGGCGAGCCCAGGGGTGAAGTGAGAATGGGCAGGCCTTCTCAGAAGGCTCAGAAGGCCTCGGGCCTTCTGAACAATTTTCTAAGCCTACCCCGAAGACGCAGAAAACTACTCTTAAGGCCCGAGGGGGTCCAAGAAGCCCCGCCGCGTTCTGAGAAAGCCTTCTCCTTCTCACATCCCCCGGGGCGCGCCGCTGAAAGAGTGCAAGGGCCAGAGAGAGGAAACAAAGATCCAGACACCCAGCGGCTCGATCTGTTTGAAATGTAGGCCCCCGGGCCTCCCACCCACCACCCACCCAAGAGGACAGCCGTGACCTTGTTCCGCGCTCTGACACGCTGCCTTGGCAAACGTGTTGCCTTGGCAAATTGGGCGCGAGCTAGCCAGGGGCCAAGTTCGTGTTGAGTCCGCAGCCGTTGCATCGGCGTTCGCGGTCCAAGAAGGATCTCACCGCCGCCAGCGGCCATAGACACGGGGACCGCACTGCAGGTCCTGCCGTACCAGAAGGCATCGGTGCGCCGAAGCACGAGAATCTGTTCCACCAGGGACTCAGTAAGCCGACGGGAAAGAGGACGGAGGAAGGTGCTGCCCCTCCTGCTCGCCTCCAGCCTCTAGAGCCGGGACGGGAGGTACCTCCGTCTCGAGCCCAAATTGCTACGGAAGGCTGAGTATGAGAAAGAGGAGGGGGGCGTAGAAGGAGAGCAGAGAGAAGGGAAGACAAGGATGAAGAAGACCAAGAAGATAAATGAAGAAGGTGAAAAGAGGACGACGGTATATATGGATATCTAGTAATACGTAGTAGTACTAATAAGCAGACGGAGCAGAAGACGAGGAACGGCATCAGAACTTGTCGTCATCCAGCTCCACCTCTCATTCTCCACCTCACCATGATCAGCATCAGCATCACCTTCATCAACATCATCATCAGCATCGTCATCATCAGCAGCATCATCACTAGCATCATCAGCAGCATCATCAGCATCATCAACATCATCATCAGCAGCACTATCATTATCATCATCATCATCATCATCATCAGCAGCAGCATCATCATCATCATCATCAACATCATCATCATCATCATCATCAGCATCATCATCAGCATCGTCATCATCATCATCATCATCATCAGCATCAGCATCAGCAGCATCATCAGCATCAGCATCAGCATCAGCATCAGCATCAGCATCAGCAGCATCATCATCATCACCCTCATCATCATCATCATCACCCTCATCATCATCATCACCCTCATCATCATCATCATCATCATCATCATCATCATCAGCAGCATCAGCATCATCATCAGCATCAGCATCAGCATCAGCATCAGCATCAGCAGCATCGTCATCATCATCTTCATCACAGTCACCATCACCAGCACCCTCACCACCCTGATCACCCTTTTCGCCCTCTTCCGTGCCGACCCCTCTCCTCCGTCTCCAACCCCTCCTGCTCCTTCCCTCGCCTCTCCCCCGCGTCCACCCGCCCCTCCTCTTCCTCCTGGTTGTCGACTTCGCAGGCCGAGCAACATCGTCGACGCACACTGGGCAGGCAGAGGCTCGAGCGGAGCACGAGCACCACCCTCGAGCGATTCGACACAGCGACACAGCACGGGGCGGAGCCGGCAGGCGGGCGACGAGAGAGAGAGAGAGACGCACGCGGCAGAACGACGGGGACAGCCACGGCGACAGGCAGACGGGCGGAGCCGCGGCGGGCGCGCCCTGCTCACTCTCGAGGCGCTCGGCCCAGCTGGCCGCCACGGCGGCCGTGGAGCCGTCGCGGGAGGCCGCCAGATCCGGGCTCCACCGCTTCGCATCACGCGCCCCCGCCCCCCCCCCGTCCACACCAGCCTCGCACCCCGCCTCCCCACGAAGGGAGCCAAAAAGGCTCTGGAGGACAGCCCGAAGGCCTGTAGGTCGACAGGGGTGGACGCCCTGCTTGCCCTGAGGGTCCAGCCACGGTAGCGAGGGGACCAAGCGGGGTCATCTGCTGCCTGCGGTCCTTTGTGGCGGCCCGAGGCTATCGAGGTCACGCCAACTGTAACCTCCGCACGTGGTGCGAAAAAAAGACCGTGCTACCACATGGGAGGGGGAAACTACTTGGCCAATCGACACCAAATCTACGAATTGAGCGGCCAGCGAGCGAGACAAGCTTATACGGCTCGTCTGGGCCTCCTGGGACGATGAACCTCCGCCCCCCGCTATTGATCCTGGGCAGAGGAGGGAGTCAGAACAGGGCACGCTGGGGAGAGTCACCAGTCGGGCCTGGCAGCCCATCGGCACCTCGAACCCTGCGGTCGGCCATGAGGGCCTCTTGCTCGCCAGCCCAAAGGCCACCTGACGAGCAACGCAACTGAAAACATGTGTGAGTCGATTAGCTTGCTCTGTTGACGGGTGGCAAGCAGCTCCTAGCTAGGCCAGGCGGCCCTCATGATCCGACCCGAGCTTGTGCAACGCAGATTTTCGCCCAGCGTCGACAGCTGCCCAGCTGGCATGCGCCATGTTTTTGACTGGCGGGAGCGGCAGGTCGTCGAAGACGGGGACGATTCGGGCCCACATGCGTGCAAGACTGCAGCTGTTGCGTTGGGCATAGCATGGGTTATTCAGACAACTGAGAGTGGCGCTGCAGTCAACGCGAAACGTGGACCCGACAATGCAAAGCACAGGCAACCGCAGTCGCCATGCAGATGGCGGAATATTCGCCATCACGAACGGTATGAAGGGCGGGGGGGCATTTCACGCGGGACTGCTCAATAGCAGACAGCAGCAAACTCTGAGTCTTCATTGACCTGTACCAACCCTCATCCAGTCCTTGTGAGCACGGGGTCAGTCGGGGCAGTCGCAGACCTGTCCATAAGAATGAGCCCACAGAGCTGCCCATCACTGGATCTGTTGATCCAGCGTATGCCAGCTTGGCTGCGGGCGAGGGGGAGGGAGACCAGCGCGGGAACGAGGGGGAGATACCAGACGCAAGCTTTTCAAGGTCACTGGCTGTCACCTCTTAGCGTTGCTGGCGGCGTGCAAGAGAACCTGCCTGACTGGTGTTCGTCGCTCAATATGCTAGGCGTCACACTTGAACCTGCGATGAAAGAAAGGGCTCTTGCGCCGCAATGCAGAGCGTGCAAAGAGGGGGCTGAGAGTGCGAGTGTCTGTGCTGACGCTCCTGTGTCCAATTGCACTGTGAGACCACACTCCCGGCGGCTTCTTGCTCGCGCTGGCACCAAGAGTCGGTGGAGCCCCCATTCATGAGGTCCCTCGAGTGTTTCCAAGGGGTCGGCCTGGCCCAAACCTTCGAAGAGGCTCGGGTCTGTAACGCTTTAACATCTGACAAGGCCTCCACAGCACGCTGGCGAAGAGTGCCCACCTGAAGCGGGGCCAGGGCAACGAGGTCAACCTCCCGTAGCATGCCACCTTGAGACCCGAAGTGACCTGACGTAAGCGTGAGCCGGGGACCTTACTGTGCGCCAAGTGAACTGCTGCTCCTCAAGCTCCGCCTGAGCCCCAGGCAAAACCAGCTGTAAGTTGGCCAACGAGGGCCGTCCGCTCGAAACAGCCTGGGCCCAGAACTGTACGACCTGCCTGTGATAGGCAGCCATGGGATCGAACTGTTGTCCAACGGCCGAGGACAACAACCTGAACCCCACCGAGGCCGTGCTCTTTCCGTCATACGTAGAAGGACTTAACCGCAGAGACTCTGATGGCGTGAACCTGCCTACTACTGAACACGTTTACCGCAGCCCCCCAGAGGGCACAATATTATGGTCCTGATCGCTGCATGTTGTGAACTTTACCTCTGGCACGCAGCAGCCGCCTGAGGCCCCAGCTCCTCTTGGCTCGTTCTCGTAGCCTGCTAGCAAGGGTATTGGTGCGCCTAACGTTCGCACATGTAACATCGGAGTTAAGGCTTGTGGTGACCATCTTTTTTTTGAAACCTCGATGGGCCCAGAGACGGGCCCGGTCCTGGGCGAGTTCCGCGGAGGAGGGACATAATCAACTCCAGCTGGCAGCATCCCGTTGAGAGCTCGTGTCCGACTTCGCCAGTCCCCTTGACTGCCATTGGCATGGAAGCCAAACACTGCGTGCGCACATCATCTACGACACTTCTTCCGTACACATGGGGGTGGGCTGGATGGAAAGCAATGAGCGGTGGAGCAACACCTTGGCAAGACTCGTCGCCAAGCTGCAGCCCGCGAGAATGGTACCGGTTTCAACACGTGGCTGACCGAACTCTGGAAGCTGATGATCCTGGGACCTGCACATAACGTGCAAGCTACACGTACCAGACGGGAAGGCATCTGAGTTGCTCCAGCTTCTTTCATCATAGCCACGTGCGCCAACCTGTCGTAGAACTTAGAAAGGGTCGGTGAACACAGTGGCTGCTTCAAAATTGGAGAGCCTGGCCACGTATGCCAGGATGTTGTGCTCCCACCCTGCATGCTCGCACGTTTTACGCTTGGTTCCCCAGAAGCTGCTCAAATGTTGAGTTTCTTCCCACTATCGCGCGAATTGATGCCGAAGTCTGGCCCAAATCCTCATGAGGCTGCAGATGAGGGCGATCGGCATAACTCCACTTCCATCCAAGTTCCCTGTGAAGACTTATGATATTCAGCCAAAGCTCGAGCAGCTCAGGCTGGCTCTCCCAAAGCAGGAGTATGCGTATATGGGGTAATAGTGCGGCATCGCTGAGCATGGGCTAGCTGCGCTGGTTGACCCCGTCCACGCCAAGTCATACACAATTGCAAAACTGATCTAGTACTTGCTTGAGCTGATCCAGGGAGGGAAGGGTTAGGCCGGCACTCCGGCACTCCTGGCTGCAGCCTCCTTGGCCGCCGTGATACTATACTTGGCGTCAGTCCAATAGTCCCCACTCCTGCCTCAGGTGCTTGGCCACAGGATCCCCTTTTGAGAGGGGAACCCTCTGGACCCAGTGGCTGGTGAACTGGGGGGGGGTTCTTGATGCACTGGTGCACCCGCTTTCTCCCCTTTAACGTGGCGTCTCTCGCCCAAGCCCGCCACTCTTTTTTGTCGAGGGGGACGGCGACCCAAGCAATGAAGCCCCACTACAAGTCAAAGCTCTAGTCAGGCAACTGGCTGGCTCCGCGAATACGGCAATGCATCCGCCCTCGGCCTCTGACGTCCAGTCGTGAATGTGTGCGTGTGCCCCAGGGCCTACTCAGCCACAACAAAAAACCCAGGGCTGCACGACGAAACCCGGCCAGCATTCGAACCAGCAGCGGATCGAGACAGCACCGTGCGAAGAAGGGCCCAAACCCGCCACTTTTGCCGCCTGAGCCTGCACAGGTCGCGCGCAGCACACGTTCCGCAGTTCTCTCCGCGTCGGCACGAGTGCACACGAACTCGGGGCCTCCAGCCGCCGCGGCTTCTGATAGATGCCGAGTGCCTCCAGCTGCTGCTAGGTCGGCCCCGGGGTCTGCCAGCCTGGGTTGACCATGGCGCTGTGGTAGCCGCCTGTTGGAGGCTAACCTGGGCTTCTTCAACCAGCCCACCTGGGGCTTCGTGGGAAAGGGCTTCCAGGTGGTTCGGACCGTCACTGGAATACGAAGGCTGAAACCATGGGCAGTGATCTGGATAGGCGTGTGAGGCCTTCACCGCACCGCATGCAGCGCAGGAATATCAACGATGCTGTTGGCCACGCCACGTGAGAACACAAAAAAGTAGAGGCACCTGCTCGTGCCCGCGCCTGAGGAAAAAGTTGCACAGGAAGGGGCTGCAATGCTGGCACCTAGCATCTGACTCCACTTGAGAAGCTCTGGATGTGTGGGCGCCATGTTAAAATCTCCCCCAAGACCCCACGGCCGTCGGCTTCCAAGGCCCTGAAGAACTTCCAGGTTGTCTCCAGAGCATTCCTTCCCAACATGATCATAGGCAGTGACCCACAAGATTCCCGAAGGAACAATCGCATTCATCAACATAGCAGAGACCCGTCCCCAAGCTGAAGCCCTCAACCCCAATTTCTTGTGCGTGATATTCTTGCTACTGACATGGTTTGCCACTGCCGTCATAGTGTCAGCACTGGTCGCCAAATCATGCTCCCCCGTGCGATTGGCCTCACTGAAACTGGTGCGGAACCCACGTTGAAGGAACCGTTTGGAGGCCCTGTGAATCCCCCTCCTCTTCCTCCTCCCCCCCTCCTCCTCCCCATCCCTCCTCCTCCTCCTTCTCCTCCTCCTCCTCCTCCTCCTCCTACTCCTCCTCCTCCACCTCCTCCTCCTCCTCCTCCTCCTCCTCCTCCTCCTCCTCCTCCTCCTCCTCCATCCCCATCCTCATCCCACCCCCCCTCTTCCCCCTCCTCCCCGCGGGACCGTGCCACCAACCCACAGCCCTCCACCCTCCCCAGCGGCGGCGGGCGGCGGCCGGCCGCAGCGAGGCGGGGTGCCTGGCCGTGTCCGAGACGACGATAACCGACGCCTGAAGGCCCCAAGGAGGACGACAGGAGAGGAGGACAGCCCCCCTCGGATCGCATCGGATCGGATCGGACGCCTGAGGGCCACGGCCCCCCTCGGATCGGTCGGGGGCGGCCAAGAGGGGGGCGTCCAAGAGGGGGGGGCGCAAATCATGGCCGGCGGCACGTGCGCGGCCCAGGAGAGGGCCAGGGACGTGATGAAACAAGAAGCGGTGCCATGAAATCTGGGAAGATATCATGGCCGTGGCCATGATATCCACCCCCACCTAGTCATCACCCCCCTCTTGGGCGCCCCCCTCGGATCGGGTCGGATCGGATCGAGTCGGCCGGGTCAGCGGCAAGCTTTGAGTGAAGTGAGAAAGGGGCGGGCATCCTCGGAAGGCTCGGATGGCCGCGGGCCTGCTGAGAAGTGTTCTGGGCTTCCCCAGAGACACAGAGAGAAAACTCCTCAGAGGAAGTCCATGTGGAACACACGGATCCCCAAGGGCTTACTATTCGGATTGACCCTGCTGGGGTTTGGGGTCTCGAGCGCGGCGGCTTTAAATCGGGATATCGATCTTGACTTGAAGGTTACAGCCCTGCCTTGCTAGTGGCAGTTGCCGATGTTGAACAATCCTCCTTGTCATCGCCCTACTCCTCCTCCTTCTCGTCCTCCAAAATCAAAGAGCTCATCTAAAAGTACAAAAAAGAATTACCCTGGCGAAGAACCCAACCCATTCTACACGCGTGGAAGGTATCAACAAGACCACTCGCTGCACAAAGACTCTTTGGGGGGGTTCGCAATTCCCCTGAAAACGTCGCCAGAGAAAATCGGACCCGGCTCAGCAAGTAGTCACGCGACTCAATTCACACGCGGATGTTAGCAGTGCATGCGGCGCGGAACACAAGTGCGGGGACTGTGGGAGCAGGAGGAGGGATCATGGACCACCTCACCTCTGAGCCAAACCGCGTCGCGGATCATGCGCCATGATCGTGGGGGGTGCTCCAGGAGTGACCCGAGTCACCATGTGGACGCAGCCACTGGGGCCTTCGGTGGAGCTCCCCATGTGGCCACGAAACGTGTGAGGGGTGTGCCAGAAGGGACCCGAGTCACCATGCGGACGCAGCCACTGGGGCCTTCGGTGGAGCTCCCCATGGGGCCACGAAACGTGTGAGGGGTGTGCCAGAAGGGGCCCGAGTCACCATGCGGACGCAGCCACTGGGGCCTTCGGCGGGGCTCCCTACGGGGCCACGAAACGTGTGAGGGGTGTGCCAGAAGGGCCCGAGTCACCATGCGGACGCAGCCACTGGGGCCTTCGAGCTCCCTAGGGGCCACGAAACGTGTGAGGGGTGTGCCAGAAGGGACCCGAGTCACCATGCGGACGCAGCCACTGGGGCCTTCTGGGGAGCTCCCGATAGGGGCCAAGAAAGGTGTGAGGGGTGTGCCAGAAGGGACCCGAGTCACCATGCGGACTCAACCACAGAAGCCTTCGGTGGAGCTTCCTATGGGGCCACGAACGCGTGAGGGGAGCGATGAAACGGTGATCATAATGATGATGGTGGTGGCGATGGTGATGGTGATGATGATGGTTGTGGTGATGACGGTGGTGGTGATGATGATGATGATGATGATGATGATGATGATGATGATGATGATGATGATGATGATGATGATGATGATGGGGATGGGGATGAGGATGAGGATGAGGATGAGGATGATGATGATGCTGATGATGATGGTGGTGATGATGATGACGATGATGATGATGCTGATGATGATGATGATGATGATGGTGATGATGGTGATGATGGTGAGAGGGGAGAGGAAGATGACGAGTACGTGGAAGGAGGAGTGAAGAGGAAGAGGAGAGGAGGGAGGATGGGGAGGAGGAAGGAAGGAACAAGACGCGCGGCGCTGCGAACTCAAAACGAAGGACCCAACACACAAGAGGGTTTGGAATGAGCATGCGAATCGTCACGTTGCCACTGTGTGAAAACTACATGGGGCCTCCGCATTGAGTGCCCCATGGGACCCATATGAGGCGGCACTGGAGGAATGGCAATGGAGGGAAGCACATTGGAACACAGACCGACGGCTTCGAAAAGGAAGAAGATAAAGGGGGTCAGATAAGAGGGGAATAATCACATGTGCAAGCAAGAGCACCGGCAGAAGGAGGAGACACAGGACGACATGGAAGACGAAGAGGAAGGCGATGCGATCAACGACGACAAGAAGCTGTTTCTCCGACTGTTCCGGCAGGAGTGCGTCTAGCTGACGCTTATATCAAACTGTTTGGCCTCTCGCCTGCACCGCGCATCGCGGGCACTCCAAGTGCGCAAGCGCGACGCCAGATCCGCGAGGGTTGCTCGGGCGGGAAAGCCAAGGCCGTGGTCGCGGATCATGGGCAGGTTCCCCGAGGCCGTCGCCCTGCACAGGTGCACATCGAGGGGGGTCCGGTGTGGATCCCCGCAGGACACCGCTTCGCTGGTCTCCCAAGGGCGCAGCGCGACGGCCGGGCAATTGAGAGTACCCATGGAGGGGGGGTCAAGCTCGAATGTTTCGCGTGACCCAGCTCCGACCGACCTCTCGGGGGGCGCAGGAGAAGTGGCAGCGGCTGCGTAATTGGCAGCACCTGGCGAAGGAGAGGTCTGGCCTGGATATCCCCGTAAGGCCACACCCCGCTCGACTTCTCAAAGGCACGGCAAAGTGGCGGAGGCTGTGCAGTCCTGTCTAGGTCCCCGCTAGACCGTACCCCTCTCGTTATAGAAGGGGCGTTGCGAAGCGGCAGCAGCTGCAGCAGCTAGCAGCACACAGGGAGGCGAGGCAGGAGGCGGGCAGGAGGTAGCAGGTAGGAGACAGGGGAGAAAAAGAGAGGAGGCAGACAATGAGCAGCAATGCTTTACTCGAAACGCGTACCCAGCACGGGAGGGTTAGGAATGGAAGCACGAAGAGCAGGAGACGGGGAGACACGAGGAGCAGGGGGCGCAATGAGAGGCCACGGACGGGAGAGGAGCAGCAGAGCTCTATTCGAAACGAGGACCCAACACAAGAGTGTTGCGAAGAATCACTCAAACTTCACAAGCTTTCTTCTCTAACGCATCTCACAACTGCGGGCGACACAACAACGTGACACATAGACCCGCCTAGTTTCAAAGGCAGGTACATGCAACGAAACGGAGTCAGGGAAAGAGGCAGAGAGAGAGAGAGATCCGCCGGCCCCCTTGTGGGGCCACCAGGCTGTAGGACCGTGATTCGCAGTTTCCTGTACCAGTCGTAGGTTGTAGTTTCCAGTGTTACAGTTCTGCTTCTTGCTGGTTACTGTAACTAGTTGACTTCTTGCTGGTTGCTGTAACTAGTTGATTGACCGCGCGAGGGGGGGGAGGCCCAAACAAGATTTTTAGCGTCTCCTGGGCGCGTTGTCTGAATTGCTGGGGGGGCTCGAAATCGACACCCCTCACGCAGATCCGCGGGGTCAGGGTCCAAAAACACATGGGATTTGCCACATTTCTGAAATTCGGTGCCACCCCTCACGCAGATCCGCGGGGTCAGGGTCCAAAAACACAGGGGATTTGCCACATTTCTGAAATTCGGTGCCACCCCTCACGCAGATCCGCGGGGTCAGGGTCCAAAAACACAGGGATTTGCCACATTTCTGAAATTCGGTGCCACCCCTCACGCAGATCCGCTGGGTCAGGGTCCAAAAACACATGGGATTTGCCACATTTCTGAAATTCGGTGCCACCCCTCACGCAGATCCGCGGGGTCAGGGTCCAAAAACACAGGGGATTTGCCACATTTCTGAAATTCGGTGCCACCCCTCACGCAGATCCGCGGGGTCAGGGTCCAAAAACACAGGGGATTTGCCACATTTCTGAAATTCGGTGCCACCCCTCACGCAGATCCGCGGGGTCAGGGTCCAAAAACACATGGGATTTGCCACATTTCTGAAATTCGGTGCCACCCCTCACGCACATCCATCGCAAGGCGTGGTAACCCAAACTGCGAGTACTACCTCGGCCCTTTAATCCCAAGGTGTGGTAACCAAGCTCGTAAACCATACACGTCTTACCAATCGCCCTGTGTGGTAACCCCTCTTGTGATCAGTTGGTTTTGCCGATTGCGAATCGGCCTCGCATGAAGTTCCGATACTGCTGCACGACAGCGCCAAAGCCTCATGACTTAGCTCTTCCATGGCCCATTCTCCGAGAGAGGGGGCCGGCGGCAGGGGGCGAAGCCCTTACGGATAAAAAGGACGATAAAAAGAGATATATAGAGAGAGAGAGAGAGAATTAGAGATGGAGAGAGATGGATGGAGTCAGAGAGAGAGAGAGAGAACGACGATAATCACAAGACAGCTCGCCACTTGGGCCCCACCGCCAGCTCAAACGGCGAGCATGAATCGGGCATAGTCCCGCACGCATTCAAATGCCCACACTTCGTCCTCGTACTACTCGTATTCCTCCCCGTCCTCCTCCCCATCCTGATTGTCGTCGTCCTCCTCCTCCTCCTCATCCGCCTCGTCTTCCTCGTCTTCCTCGTGCTCCAGCTCCTTCTCGTCGTCCTCGTCTAGAACCTCGTCCTCGTTTCTCCTCTTCCTCCTCCTGCTCATCCTCCTTCTCCTGGCACCTCGGTCCTCGACGCCCTCGCTGGCCCGCTTGCGGTTCAAGAGAACGGCTCAACGCCATAAGTTACGCCATAGTTTGCGCCCTCGGCGGCCGAGAACTAAACCGTCTCCTATCGGTTGCGCCATAGGTTGCGCCCTCGGCGGCCGAGAATAAAACCGTCGCGTAACGGGTGCGACCAGTCTGTTCAGTTCAGTTCAGTTGAATTCAGTCTACCTCTCGAGAAACAAATTCGGGATACGTCCGAAAAGATACGTGTATCTATATATGTATATATATACATATATACAAGGAGAGACAACAAGAAAATGAAAGTGAGAGAGAGAGAGAGGCGGGCGCTGTGTGTAGACCGTCCCCTAGGCACATCTGGCCAGCGACGGCACATAAGAGAGCCTCAGAAGGTGCGAGAAGAGAGAGAGAGAGACGGAAGAGCCCGCGCATGAGTACATCTGCCAGGCTTCGCCGGCGGCACTCGCACCATTCAAATTCGCGGACCCCGCAAAGTGGGATAGTGCACTGAAAATGTTTGAGCTACGTGACAGACTGCAGGTGGTGTAAACAAAGCCTTGTAAGCTGTGCGATGTCTTGCGAGGTGTGCGGTGCAAGCTGCGAGGTGTGAGCTACGTGGTCACAGCTATGTGGCAGGAGCTGTGTGGTGCAGGCTGTGCGGTGCAATCTCTGTGGTGCAGGCCATGCAGCCGCCCACGAGGCGCCCGCGAGGCGCCCACGGCCGCCCGCCAGGCGAAACCCGAGCCGACCCACCCAGCGCACGAGGCGCCCCCGAGGCGTTCGCCAGCGGCCGCGGGCGGCCGCCGGGAGAAGCCTCGCCAGACCCCCCGCACGGGACGCCCGCGAGGCGCCCCCCGGGAGGCCCCGGGCGGCCACCGGGCGAAGCCTCGACGGACCCGCCCGCGGCACGAGGCGCCCTCGAGGCGCCAGACGGGCGGCCACCGGGCGCAGCCTCGACGGACCCACCCAGCGCGCGGGGCGCCCACGGGGCGCCCACGGGCGGCAGCCTGCCGGATCCTCGGCAAGCTCGGCGAACTCCTCGGGGGATCGAGGTAGGAGCCCCTCCCCCAATCGGGCCACTGTGCTGGAACACGCCGCACGTTCCTGAATCGGGTTGCTCGGCTGAGATTGCCCTCGGAGGAGCGGACCGCAGCGCCCTGCGAGACGACTCCGAAGGACGCCGCCGCCTCTGAGGCCGTCGGAGACCTTCTCCACCCTGACTCGGACTCGGACTCGGACTCGGCTCCGCGCGCGTGGCGCCTTGAAGGAGCGGCGGAGGGGGGCGCCGAGGCGCCAGCTTGGAAGAAGTTGACAAACAAACGCGTGCATGTAAAAATTAGGCACGGGAAGCGTCAGGAGGCGGAGGAGGAGAAAGATGACGAGGAGGAGGAGGAGGGAGGAGGAGGAGGAGGAGGGAGGAGGAGGAGGAGGGAGGAGGAGGAGGAGGAGGAGGAGGAGGAGGAGGAGGAGGGAGGAGGAGGAGGAGGAGGAGGAGGAGGAGGGGAAGAAGGGACGGGCGGCAACATCACTTCTCCACACTGGCCGCCTCCAACTCAGGATCGACCGCCTCCAACATCGGATCGGCCTCTTCGTCCGCGCTCGAGCGCCCGACGACCGCCTTAGTCGGGTGGCTGCTTGGGGAAAATGTTTGCAAGGGTGGGCCCGAAACAGTGAGTTGTCGCACTGTGGAGGTGAAAGATGTGTTTGGTAAGCTACGTGGTGTTACTATGTTGGATAAGCCCAAGCTATGTTGTGTACGGTGTGAAGCTCTAGTGGGCAGGCTGTGTGGTGTAAGCCGTTATGATGTGTAAGCTGTGTGGTGTGAACTAAGTCGTGCAAGCTATGTGACGCGGGATACCTGGTGTGAGCTATGTTGTGTGCTCCTCAATGTGGCGTTAGCTATGTGGTGAAACCTGTGCTGTGCATGTGATGCCAGCTGAGTTGTGCGAGCTACCGGTTGAGAGCGTGTCAGCTATGTGGTGCACTAAATGTGGTGGGAGCCATGTGGTCAAACCTGTGCTGTGCAAGCTATGTGGTGTAAGCTATGTGGAGCAGGCCATACTGCGCAAGCTCTGCGATGTGCGCGCACGGGGCAGCCACGGTGCGCCCACGAGGCGCCCGCGGGCGGGCAGCAGGCGAAATCTCAGGGAACCCACCCTAGCGCGGGGCACCCACGATGCGCCCACGGGCTGGCACCAACGGGGCACCAGCCGAAAACCCAAGAAACCCACCGGGTTCCTGAAGGAAACAAAGTCAGAAGCCCTGAATGCAAACACTGTTTGGGGAACATGCCTACGTACATACATGCATGCATACATACAGGCAGACAGGCAGACAGAGACAGACAGACAGGTATACACATGCATACATACAGACAGACATGCATGCCTACGTACGTGCATGCATACATACATACATACCTACCTACATGCATGCATGCATACATAAATACATAAACGTATACAGGCATACACACATAAAACATACATACATGCATACATTCTGATATGAATGCTTGCATGCATGCGTGCATAACACATACATACAAACAGCTACACACATCCAGCCATGCATACATACTTGTTTGGTCTGCGGGTCGGGAGCGGGCCCCTTCCGGTCAAGAGCTAAACGGGACGCGGGTAGCCCTAATTGGGGAGACAGGGCGCAGACGGGGGGGGCCTCAGGCGGCCAGAGGTATGCATACATACACACCCATACATACATACATACATATACATACATGCAGAGAGACAAACACACATACACACATACTTGAATATAACACGCAGACAAACAAATATACTTACAATCATATATATATATATATATCCGGATACATACAAACGTACATACATATAGACACACAGACCGACAAGCAGACCGACATACACATGCATACATACATACATACATGCATATTTACATGCGTACATACATGCATGCATACATACATAACCATATACCGACATGCATACATCAAACATACACACATGCATACATAAGGATATGCATGTTTGCATGCATGCATGCATCCAAAAAACAAACAAACCGATACACACACACATCCAGCCATGCATACATACAAACCCATACATACGTACACATACATACCTGCAGAGGGACACACAGGCATACACACATACATAAATATCACATACAGACAGGCATGCATACAAGTATACGTATTCTGATACATACAAACAGGCATGCATACATACAGACAGATGGACAGACAGGCAGACAGACAGACACACACATGCATACACACATGGATTCATACATGCATAGAGGCATACATGCATGCATGCAAACATACATACACATGTCGATACATATAGACAGACATACATGCATGAAACATACATGAATGCGTACGTGTGTGCTTGGATGCATGCATGCATACATACGTAAACCAGACAGGAAGACACACACGACCATCCACCCACACACACATACACACACACATACATGCATACACATGCATACATACACAGAGACACACTACCTACACACATGCATCGTACATATATACATACGGGCATGCAAACAGACATACACACTCTGATACATACATACATACATACATACATACATACATACATACATACACACGGAGTACATGCATACATACAGACAGCCAGACATACACATGTATACACATGCATACATACGTGCATGCATGCATACACCATGAATGCACACACATCCATATATGTATGCAGGCAAACATGTATACATACACATGCAGACATACAGATATCAAACCGTCATACATACATAGATGCATGATTGAATGCATGCACGCAGGAATACATACAGACAGGCATACAGACCGACAGACACACACACACATGCATCACTACACGCATACATACCCAAATATACATACACACAGACTGACAGGCAGACAGACAGACACGCATACATACATACACACGTACAAACATAGGACACATTTACATTCAGACATACAAGCAAACAAACACATGTTCTACATACATACATACATACATACAGACCTACAACCATGCATATATACATAATAGTGCATACACACAGACATTCGAAAAACACATGCAGAATCTGATGCCTACATACATACATACATACATACATACATACATACATACAGACAGACAGACAGACAGACATACATACATACGTGCATGCATGCATGCATGCAAACATGCATGCATACACATTCACATGCATACATACATGCATACATACATGCGTGCATACGTACAGACGGACAGACAAACATACAGACCCCAAGATGGCCCAAGAGGGCCCCAGGATCGCGGCAAGAGCGCCCAAGAGACCTCCAAGATAGCTCTATGACGGCCCAAGAGGCCCCCCCATTCGGCCCGAAGGAGGCCCGAAGAATGCCTCAGTGGCTTCCAAGACACCCAAGACGACCTCCAAAACAGCCCAGAAGCATCCCAGGAGGACTCGAAGACGGCAAACGACGGCGATAGACGAGCCAGGAACGCCCCCAGACAGCCAAAGAGGCCCCAAAGAAGACCTCAAAGGCTCCCAAGCGGCCCGAGGAGGCCCCCTGGAGGCCTCCAAGAGGCCTCCAGAATTCCCCCAGGAGGCCCCAAGAATGACCCAAGAGGCTCCCAAGAAATATCTTCATCCTTCGCCTACTCCTCCTCCGATGTCCTCCTTTCCTCATCCTACACTTCCTCCCCCAAGTGTTCCCCAAGGGTTTTCACAACGGCTGGGGAAACACATGGCCCAATAGCTTGGCAAAACGTGTGACCACATTCAGGCAGGGGGCGACGGTGACGCGACGTGGGCGTCTTCGACATTACGTGGTGCAGACTATGTAGTGCCGTCTGCGTGGTGCGAGCTGCGTGGTGCAGGGGACGTGATGCAAGCTGGGAGGTCGAAGATGCGCACGGCACAGGCTGGGTGGTGCGAGGGCCCGCGGTGCCATCTGCGTGGTGCACGCTGTGCGGTGTGAGCTCATGTGGTGCAAGACGTGCCATGAGAGCTACGCCGGGGGCGGCCACGGCGGCGGCCACGGGGCGGCCACGGGGCGGCGACGGGCGGCCACGGAGCGGCCACGCGGCGGCCACGGGGCCACCACGGGGCCACCACGGGGCGGCCACGGGGCGGCCACGCGGGGCGGCCGCGGGGCGGCCACGGGCGGCCACGGCGCGGCCACGGCGCGGCCACGGGCGGCCACGCGGCGGCGATCAGAAGAAGCTGCGGGTCGCCCACCCACCTCGCTCGCGAGACAAATGAGAGCCCCTATGAGCAAGCACTGATTGGGGAACCTTCCTGGGTCTGGCCACTCGAAGAAAACTGAAACAATTCTGGCGGGCGCCTACGCCTCAGAGGTTGTCGGAGGCCTGCCCAACCCTGGCCGCCTCCATCTCCAGATCCACCGCTTTCTCCCCCTTCTTCGGCATGGACATCAAGTTAAAGGCGGAGAACGATGCGACGCACAAGATTGCCGTGGTCACCGTGAACGTGGTCGAGATGCTGAAGTTCATCAGGAGAGGCAACAGGACGAGAACGTTCAGAGGCAGCCGGTAGATGTTGTAGATTGTTGACCTCATGTCTTCGGGCACGATGTCGCCTTTCAGGGTGCCCATCATCGGGAAATACAGTCCCACGCAGGCCTCGAACACGAGGAACGCGACGAATCGGACCATGACGTCCTGGAAGAGGAAGGCGACCATATGGCATACGCCCGACACGATCATCACCATCAACCCGATCTGCTCCACAGAAAACGACCCCGAGAGGTAGGCGTACACGCGCGTTCCGAGCAGGCAGAAGATCATGAAGCCGCTGAAGATGTGGCCGAATGGCGGGACCGGCTGATCGGGCTCCATCAGGCACGGGGTCCAGTTGAACACGAAGATGAACATCGAGGACTCGAAGGAGCTACAGATGAGGCCGCACAGCGTGATCCTCCTGTCCGACAGGATCGCGTCGAAGGCCCTCGAGAAATTGCCTCCCGCCTGCCCGCCGCTCTCGCCGTAGTTCTCTGACCAGCTGCTCGCGACGTAGAACATGCAGAGCACGAGAACGACGTTGGCCAGATCGAAGGGCGCGATGCACGGGGAGCAGGAAGACGCACCCGCTACACCCACCACTGCAGGAGGGAGGCCCCGCGAGGCCCCCAGCGGTCCCGGGGAGGCCCCGAAAGGCTCCCAGGAAGCCCCTTGGAGGCCCCCGAGAGCCTCTCCAAGAGAACCCAGAAGGCTTCTGAGAGCCCTCTGGGCCACGACCGAGGCACGGTGGCTGGATGGTCCGACGTCCTCTAGGCACACCTCCTCCACCCAACTGGCCGGAGGGAGGGACGGAAGGGGAAGAGAGAGAGAGAGAGAGCGAGCGAGAGAGAGAGGGAGAGAGAAGAAATAGGACGGCCTCGGGGGAGGCAGAGACGCACCTCAGTTGCTCCCCACATGTAGCCTCCGTAATAAAAGCCGCCCCCGACCTCAGTGAGCGGAAGAAGATTGGCGGCCACCTCGCCCAGCTGCCCGGCAGCGATCGCCGCCACGCTGCTGCCAAAGTACGCCAGAGAGAACGTGCTGCCGAGCTGCTCGCCGCTGAACCCATGCCGCTGCGACTCCGACACGAGCCAGGAGTCGAACACACTGAACAGCAGCGAGGTGGAGATGCCGCCCAGAATTCGGCCGACCAGCAGCATACCAAATGCGCCGAAATGTTTGGTCGCACAGTGGCCGAAATCCGCCAGAAAGCCTTTAGGCGGTGGGCGTACGTCGAGCGCCTATTTCTCTGCTCACACCTCCTGCTGCGCCGCATCAGTTCGCACCCCCCACGCAGCCGATGCCACGCGACAGGACGCGCCGCGGCTACAGCGCTGCCGGGCTGCTTCACCTGGCACGGCGGCGGACGTGCGCGGCAGCGCGACTGTATAAACCATGCAATACAGAATGGTGAACTTGCGCCGCCCAAACTTGTCCGCGAATGAGCCTACGACGGTGCCGAAGAAGGCGGAGGCACCAAACCCCGCGACGAACAGGTACCCGTTGTGCTCGCGGTCGATGCCGTAGCCCTGGTACAGGGCGTAAACGAAAGGGCCCTGCAGCCAGTCTGCCAGCATCGCGAGCAGAAACCCGGGCAGATACAGCCGCTGGAAGCGGGCGAGCTCGTCCCTGCCCGTAAAGAGACCCCTGATGCCGTCCATCTGCTTGCTGTCCGTGCCAATCACAGCGATGGCCGCCCCCAGTCCCAGGAGGATGCTTCCATATATTAGTTGATGCGGCAGCATTCTGGTCGGCGAGTCGTGGTTACCCGCGGCCCCGCCGGAAAAACAGCTCCGACTCTGGGTCGCCCTCTTCGCGGCAGCTTCGAGCCACCACTGTATTACCAGGATGGCTGCCAGACTCTGTCCTCCTCCGCCCACCTCATCTTCCTCCTCCCCCCCTCCCCCTCCTCCCCCGTCCCCACCTCGGCTTTGGCCGCCGAGGCCGAGAGCCCCCCCACACGACGGCTGCGAGCGACGACGACGAATGCTGACGACGACGACGACGACGACGACGACGACGACGACGACGACGACGACGACGACGACTACAACGACGACGATGCACGTTGACGACGCGCAAAAGCGGAAGGGGCGAGGGGGGCGGCCTTCGAGGAAGGCAGCTGGCGTCTTAGGAGGGCTCGGCGGAAGTTTCTCGCATAGTTTCCAAAAGGGTTTCTTGGAGGGCGGGGGGGCAAACGCCGTTTCAGGATGCTGCTACCCGACTCAACACACACAGGCTGCGTCACAAAGCGCATCAACACGCAGATGCGCTATGCGACGCAGCATGAACGAAGTAGGTGGAGGTGGAGGAGGAGGGGCAGGAGGAGTAGGAGGAGGACGACGAGGAGAAGGAGGAGGGTGGTGGTCACTGCACAAGAGACGCAAAAAGCGAGCAGAGCAAGACGCAACATGACCAAGACGACGCCGACGACGGCGGAGACGGGGCGCGCTTACCGAGGAGGAGGAGGAGGAAGAGGAGGAAGAGGAGGAAGAGGAGGGGGAACACACCGAAGAGGAGTTACGGAATTACGGATACTGCAACCATGTCGGCTACAAGAAAATGACAACAATGTACGCCTGACCCTGCTTACGGGGCTCAATTCTACTGCCACCCTTGGGCCGTAAATCCTGCGTGGTGCGAACTAAGTAACTCTCAACATTGCCATCCACAATGTGACGACACGCACTCGACAACGTGCCCAATTGCTGAGCGGCATCCTACCCGCAGGAGACATCAAACCAAGTCTTCAGCCCAGGATGACATGTAGGCGCACGGGTGATATGAACCCATCCCCCAGAGATGCGCGCCTGGTGCCCAGGAGGGGGTTCCCAAATGACGCTGTCCACACATCGTAATTCGAACCATGGAGAATTCAGCCACCCCCTCTTCTGGGAGATGGAGGTCGACCCTTCACATATCACACAAGAACGGCCGTCGTCACTAAGTGCGTGCGGGGAATGCACAACGCTGCAGATACTGGAGCGGGGGAGGCGGGGAGCAGGGTGTTTCAAAAGCGGCCTGGGCCCCTAGCGCTCTTGCTCAGCCTGCAAGGTTCCCAAAATTCTAAATAAGATTATCATCCTGACCCGATGGGCCATCGGCTTGAACTGGAAAGCACGAGCACGATCCTGGGCATCATCTCTCGCCCAGGCTGCACCTGATCCAGCGACTGCGTTGGCGGCGGCGTCTAAACTCGCAGGTGTTCTTCCTGCCACAATGACAGCTGCTTCCTGGTGCGAGTGCACACACGAGACTGCGACGTGCGACCCAGACGCGTTGGTTCTCAGAACCCGCCCAGTTAACGACCGCAAATCCACATTCTGCCATGAGGGTTCCGAAGCGTTTTTCATGATACCAC